CTCTCTCTCTCTCTCTCTCTCTCTCTCTCTCTCTCTCTCTCTCTCTCTCTCTCTCTCCCAGTTCCTAAGTGTATATGGCTACCTTTCAAGAAGTGCAATAACACAGAAAAAGCCATCATTCACTTTATTGTTGACCAACCCCAGTCTCCTCCCCAGAAGTGACCACAAAGATGACCGAAGCCACCTCTTCATACCTTTATAAGCACCCAAGTTCCTGTCAAGTGATGTTGTTTGCTTTAGCTGCAGTTGCTTTGGTTTCACACCATACTATCATAACGCTTCTTCTTTTGCCTGGAAAACCTGCTTCGTTTCATGTGACGTCTTGAAGAGCCTTCAGTACCCATGTTGGGTTTATTCCCCCACCCCACCCCCCACCCCCCGCCCCAGTGTGGCCATATTGTCTTGACATGCCATAGTGTATTAATCACCCCCCCCCTTTGTGGTTATTTAGATTGCATCTAGTTTTCTTTTGTTGTTTGTTTGTTTGTTTTTACTGTTATGATCGCTGCTACAATGAAGACGGTGTTTGCCTCTTTTCCTGTTCGCATTTCAACAAACATTGCCAATGGATAGCAAAGGTTCATCTATGAGGGAATTGCAGAACCTAAGAACACCATGGATATGGATCCCCCACCCACCCATATTTTCACGGAACACCTAATCTCTGTGACTCTTTCTAAAGTAGGCACAGTCCTTGCTACAGAAGACTTTGGGCACTTTTAGGAAATTCAAAACTCGGGGTGTACTTCTCTAGAACTTTAAAATATTTTTTAACTACCAGGTTGTGGAGAATGCGGTCCTGTCTGAAAGTGGCAGCTGTAGCCCAGGTTGATTCTGTCCCTGGGTTCAGCAAGGAGCCCTGTTGTCCATGATTAATGAGTTCTGCTTGGTTTCTACAAAGAGCGACTGTGCTGTGCCTTGCTGTAATTTATTTATGTTTTCTACTGAAAAATTCATGTAAAAATATCCTTTAAGGTCACTGCACAGCATTGTACCGCAGACCAAGTGATTCCAGCAACTTCAGGTAGACCCACATGCCAAGAGGAAGTCTCAAATCCTAGGGGGGCCCCCCACGGAGGGGAAGGCCCTGAGAGGAACAGAGCTTGTGGGCTGAGAGGAGGCACTGATCTTTCTTCCAGGGAGGCTCCGGGCTTTGGCAATAAAGGAAAGACATTGGCAGCGGGGTTGTTCTCTCTGGTGGGATGTCTCAAAATGTAGGCAAATCTGTTTATCCCACAAAGCTCAAGCAAGGAAGAGCAGCAGCAGGAGGAGAAGCCAACAGACCCGAGTCTGAAACGCTATTTCTAACAAGAGCACTGCCTTGAGTTCCATTGTATATGAGTCGAGAGAGTCACAGCATTACCACATTAGCTTGGAGCACAGGGAAGAGTGTGTAGGGCCATGTGTGTATCGTGTGGGCTTTTTCTCATCTGAAAATGATCTAGTGTCCCTTCCTCTTGGATGTTTGACCCGGGCACGTGACTCAGGAAATAAAGAAGACCCAGTATGAGGCCTGGGAGGCTCCAGATGCCATGATGCCAAGCCCTAAACGCAGCATCCCCTCTCGTCTTCTCTGTGGAGTAGTACACACTTGATCACTACCCCAAACAAAGACTCCCATCCAGATGTGAATACACCTCTGCCACTTGTGGAGCACTACCAGCTCCAATGATGATAGTGCAGAGCACTTTGAGACGGATGTGTCCCTTACCAAAATTCTATTCGCAGAGGGTCTGCTACATATTGAAACACATTTTAGCACCAAGGACCTTTTGTCTTTTGTAGTTCCTTATACTAACAAAGGCTAGTAGAGGAGCATGATGATTTGGAGAGGCCCTTGTGCACCTCTCAATTGTTTCTCTAGGAATATCTCAACATATGGAATTGAGAACAAAAAGATAATCTTTGGGACCTAGCCTAAAGCTACCATGGATAGGTCCAAAGGGCACCTTAGCCCAAGCCAACTGTAGACCGAAAGTATGACCCAACCAATAATGTTCATGGGAAGTGTTGGGCCCATCACCATTTCCAGGGTCTGAAATTCTAAATATGGCCACCGTGCCCATCTATCTCCCCCAAAGAGGACCAGATCTCCACCCCTTCTTATGCCGGGTACAGTTCATCTTCAGGCTTCACCCTTCCCCTGCCTT